CTGGGGGCGGGGATGCACCTCACACACGGTCTTGGTGTTCTCCAGGTCGCCGGCGCACAGCATGTCTGGCAGGATGTAGGAGGGGTGGCCGTGCAGCAGCTGGCACAGCAGCTTTGGGATCAGGGGCAGGGCCACCTCCTGGAGCCTGCTGGAGGTCTCGCCTGCGGGGGCGGGGCGGGGGGGCGCTGAGCCGGGTGCCTCGGGCGGCCCTGGCAGAGCGCCTCCCGCTGCTCCCGCTGGGACAGGAGTGCCGCCCCCCCCGCTGCCTCGGGGAGCTCGCAGGCAGCCCCCCAACTGAGCCCTGGAGGGGAGCCCTTCAGGAACAGGCCCCGGAGTGTGCCGGTCGCATCCCGCGTGGCCTCGTCCATGCTGACAGACACAGGAACTGGCCTCGCAGTGCCCGGAGCCATGTCCCGCTCCAGCCGTGCTGCGCCGGAGTGTGGCCCACAGCCAGAGCTGCCACTGACCCGCCGCTGCGGGGCTGCCTGAGGCCGCCCTCTGGAGCTGTAGACACGCCGGGGAGGAAGCCGAGGCCGCTGACCGCGCGGCGCGGGGCGGCCGCTGTGTGCAAGGCAGCAGGGCCTGGGGGCCCAGCGGAGGGCGCAGGGACACCGGCCAGCCTCCACCGTGGGTGCTCAGAGAGGCCGGAGACGCTGGACAGCGACGCCGGCTGCAGCTCGCTCGGGGCTGTGGGGGTCACGGGACAGACCTGCGTCCTGCTGCCGGCCAGCGGCCAGGCGGCACTCACAGGAAGGTGTTCTCCCTGGGGACTCGCGAGGCTGGGCTGTGGCCCTGAGCTGAGGGGTAGGAGCGCCAGCCCTGAGGTGGCCTCCTGGGAGCCCGTCCCAGACTGTGAGGAGGCCCCAGGCAGCTGCGCCCCACAGTGTATGTCAGCGACTCAGCGGCCCCTGCCCACACACCCTGTCACGGCGGGGAGAGGCCTTGGGCGGACCTCGGTCTCCCCACTGACCTGGGGCTGGGGCCGCGTTTCCAGTAGTCAGGAGCAGAGAACCTGGGCACAGCCAGAACCCGGGCGAGGCCCCGCGGGCAGCACCCTCCTACTCCCACGGCCGCGGCCACACAGAGCCAGGAGGACGAGGGGCGGGAGCCACGAGGCCGCATCCCGGCGGGGCAGACACAGACCTCGGTGCACAGGGAGCGGGGTGGGGGCCCAAGGCGGCAACTGTGGGCGGATCGTCTGGCTGCTGCGAGCCTGGAGCCTGTCAGGGGCCGGTCGGCAAGCCAAGGGTGACGATGGCCAGTTCCAGCCTGGTCAGTAGCAGCTGCCCACCTCGCCCCGGCAGGCAGCTGCGCACGGCGCGTGAGCCGGGCGGAGGAAGGAGCCGAGCGCTACGGCTGCTCGTGAGCAGGCGCGGGCACCGAGGCGGCCTCACCGCCGCGCACCTCCCGCCGTCCTGACCCCTTTCCTTTTGCTGAGGTGACGACCTGAGTCTTGGCTGGGCTGGGGTCAGACACCAAAGTCCAGGCCCTTCAAAAGCAACTGCACCTAGGGAAGCTGGAAGGGGGCACAGACACCGAGGCTGGCAGAGACGCCTGGGCCGCAGACGGGCGCTGACCTCGCACAGAGACAGTCACAGCCGCCCGAGCCACAGAGGCAGCAGCCGGGCTCCCACAGCGCGTTAGCTGTGCCCTGCTCAGCAACAAATCTCATGCGTGCAGAGAGCAGGAAATACACCTGCTGAAAGAAAAATACAGTCCAGTGGACTCTCTTGACATAGTGGCAGATACTTTAAGCACCTTTAAAACAGCGCTAACAATGGCCAGAGAGCTAAAGAGATGTAGAGAGAAGCCAAGAAAACTGTGTGAGGACAGAATGGACATATCAGTAAGAGACAGGAAACAAAAGAAAGTGCAAAAGTCCTGGAGCAGGGAAGGTCATAAACGGAAAAGGAAAGCTCGCTGATGTGCTTCAGAGGCAGTCGCTGGAAGTCGCTGAATCTGAGGGACAGAAGCCAGAAAGAAAAGCCAAGCGAACAGGACCTGAGGGCCCTCACAGCCAAGCGCAGCCTGGAGTCCCACGGGAGAGGCGCTAAGGGCGAGGCGGACTCAGGGCGGCCAGGCCGGTGAGACACGGACACACAGCCCAGCGTCGACACGCGCCAAGTTCTGGGAACTCACAGCTGAGCGCGCCCTGTGCTCCAGCTTTCCAAAGCTGAAGACAGAAATCTCCAAGAGCAGCCTGCAGGTGAAACCAGAGGACATGAAACAGGGACTTAAGCTGGACACGGGGAAATAAAAATTTCTATTAAAGGTGAGGACATGGGAAATTATACATGCTAGGTTGCAAATACACTTTGCTTTTCCTGTAATTTCAAAGATGGTAACTTAGGGCCCTCCCGGGTGGTGCAGTGGGCTGACGCGCGGCGCGGCGATGCTGGCCACAGCTGCTTCAGCTCTCGTTCCAGCCCTGTCCCAGGGGTGACCCCAGCGGACCTCTCCTGACCGTCCGCTCCTCCCCTCAGCAGTGGACTTCGTGACCTGCCTGCTCTGCTTCCCCGTCGGTCTCTGGTGAGTCCTCTCAACACCCTGCACCTCTCGCCTGCACCCCAGTTCTGCATGCATGCATAAATAAGCGAATCTTTAAAAGATTGAAACTAAAAATAGCATTGGTACAAAAACCAGTTAACTCCCACTGATGCCAAATCTTGTTTTCTACGTAATTAAGGAGACTAATTCACTTAAAAGATTTGCTTGTTTGGGGGGACACACAGTCCAAAGATGCCAGGAGTTGAATCCTTTCACGACAGTCCACTAAACACAAAAGACAGGAATGCAGGAAACGGGCCAGGGAGCTGCAGGACACTGAAGTGAGCCCCACTCCAGCAGCGATCACTTTAACTGCAAATGGATTAACTTCCAGTCAGAAGACAGAGACGGCTGGAGTGGACAAAAGCAGATGACCTGCTGGCTACAAGAAACCTCTAAAATAAAGAGGGTGTGAGGTCTTCTTGGGGGGAGCCAGAACAGCACATGGGCTTTTCAGCTTTGCGCTTACTGCTAAGTTGGAAAGTCAAAGCGAGACCGCTCTCAGACTTGTGTTCCGACAGAGTAAACAGCAGTAGCTGCATTCATCCCGACGGAGCAAAGCCGGCAGGGGTAAGACAAAGCTCCACGTGGCCCGGCAACCAGATGGTGACCAGCGGTGGGGACTCCCCGCCACGGATCTGCGGCCCTGAACCAAGACACTTTCCCTGTGGCGCCACCGAGCCGCCTCCCGTCCACTGCTCCCACACGTGGCCTGACCTGTGCTCACCTTTCTGCGCCTTGAGTCCCCATCCTGTGGTCCAGCAAGAAAGGTTGAGAAGGTCCACGTCTGGGGGTGGGAGGCAGACTGGGCGCACAGAGTCAGAAAATTCGATGGGGGACTTCAGCTGCAGCAGAGCGATGTCGCCTCCAACTGGGTGGTACATTTTGAAGGTGGGGTGCAGGATCACCTGGTGCACCTCAAACCACTGAGTATGTCTGCCGGCGACCTCAAGGTCCACCAGGCCGACGTACACGTCAAGCGCCCTGACGTTCATGTGCCTGTGGGGGTGGGGGACAAGTCGCGCACCTCTAGTGCCTCCAGCCGGAGAGGAGCTGTCCTCCGCGCATAGAGCCGGAGCCCGAGATGGCCGTGGCTGGCTCTGGCTGAGGGGTGGGCACAGCGGGGGACCGTCCGGCGGAAGCCCGCACAGAAGCCCGGCCTGGGCCCCTGGGGCCCATCAAGTGGGCATGCTGGCCGCCACGCCTGGGAGTGGGCTGCTGGGTGGGTGGTGACCTGTCCACCAAGGCAAGTCCCTCTCACTGCCCGCAGTGACTGGGCTCCTTGGCCATCTCAAGAGCGGACGGGCCCTGAAGCCCCGGCCTGGTGGGGAGGAGCTGCCCGGCGGAGCTGCCCACCGGAGCTGGGCTGACCCCTTGGCCCGGCTCCGCGTGGGCCCTGCAGCCTGGAGCGTGCAGCCCACGCACCGGCTGAAGCAGTGGGCGGCCGACAGCACCCAGGACGCGTGGATGACAGACCCGCCGCAGACGTGGAAGCCCAGGTAGTGCACGCTCGCCTGCCAAGGCCACTTCCCCTCCGGGGCGTCGGCGCCGCCGATGATCTTCCCGGGCAAGCCCCGCTGGCCGCAGGCTGCGGG